TCTTAGTCAAGATGGTTTTCCTTCGGTAGTTTGTGGAATATAACAAATAACTTTAATATGGAAGCTAAGGAAATGTTCCTGATTTCAGAGAGGCTGTAATCTCCATGTGACCCGTTTAAAATTTTTGGCATCAAAGAGGATTTCACTATGTGTTTCATGGAAAGTAGAACTCATTCATCTTATTTCACAAATACGAATTGTCTGCTTTAGAGGATTCTTTCTCAGTAAGCCTCCACAACTGTGGCTGGTTAGTCTAAAATCTCCAGAAGGTTTAGGAGGAGAAAAAAAGTGAATTAACAGTGTGTATCAGTCAACAGTTCTTAAATCTGAGATTTGTATTTGGCTGCCTGCCTTCCCACATTGTGTTATTACTTGTTAATTATCGTTTTTCCTCTGCCTAAGCCCACATTGCCTACAGTTGGTAAGTTCACCTTTGTGCAGTGACCTGGCTTTGCAGTTGAATACAGTGTTAACCGTCGTCCTGTCTCTCAGAGAATTGATTTCTCAATCCCCTGTCAGCAGAAATAAAATAGCCAACTGTTGTTAAGGAGCCATCAATGAAATAATTTTCAAGTTCTACTTAAAAATCAATGGCACAAATATGGTCCAAGATCAGCAACATGTAATGTTGACATAGACTTGCAATAGCTTCCTTTACACACATATTGTCTCTTTTGCAAGTGTTCCCACTGCCTTCTTAGAAATGACTCTGCTATTACTAAGGGTACTAAGCTTCAGACTCACTATACCTTTGTTTTGGCTATAACCTTCTAAAGCATATTATAGAATAAAAATACTCCTCTTGTTTGCATGTATTAAACCAGCACAAATATAATTTCAGAAAGCAGCCTCAGTAACTGTGATTTTATGTTTTAAACCTGTGTGGTGCTGGTATCTGCAGAGACATGAGATAGATACTGAGTTAAACTTTATTATTAGCTTATTATTCAGCTGTCATTTTGGATAGCAGGAGATTTCAAAGTAAAATTCAGATGTGTATGAATTTATAGATCAGAATGTAAAAATTATAAAATTAGCTTTTAAAATAAAAATTGTTTAATTTATGGGACATTTCAGTTGTGGAGACAGAAATCTTCAAGTTAATGCCATCTAAAATAGTTAGGTGAACATTGCTGGAGGATTTGTTTCCATTACACTTCCAGTGTGATTCAGTTCTAATCCTTAGAGACTGACCCTCTGCAACAGAAGGTCTCCTTCAGCACTTTGTTAGTGCACCAAATGTGGGATTCCAGCACAAAATAATTCCTGTGGTAATAGTATGGAGATTTATATGTTTGACTAGAAGAATATTATTTAGAGCTGAGTTGATGCAGATTATTGATGTTAGTGATATGAAGACAAAATCTTTAGGTGCATATCACTGTCTTCAGTGTTTGAATTTCCAATTTTCAGTTATAAAGTGGCTTTTACAGCAGGTCAGGATCAGTGTTGAATCAGATGCATTTGAACTTCCAGCATTCAGCTGAATGGAGTACACAAGGCCTGCGAGATACCTAAAGTCC